TTAAGTATTCTTAAAGGGGTCATATGATGCTATTTAATTTTTTCCTTTCTCTTTGGAGTGTTACAAGCTCTTGGTGTTCAATCACAAATGCAGACATGGTTATATGTTTACACGGCATGATGCAACGCAACGCGTAAAAAGACAGTATAAGTCATTATAATCCATAATGAGGAGAAACAATAATGTACAGTATGTGGAAAATAATGTGTTTTTTTAACTTTAAACCGCATAAACACATTTCATTAAACCAAAATAATGTCAAAATAATGTTCTTTTTAGCAGCATCATATGACCCCTTTAAAGTTAAAGGTTTATCATCTTGTTTTATGTCTTAACTTAATACTGAAAACAAAGAATAAAACACTAAAAATTAAAACTTAAGCATTTGAACACTTTATTTGAAATAAAATGTATGTTTTTACTCAACCATTTCAGAATGAACTATTTTTTTCATACACATTACACAATTCTACACAGGATTGATTAAAGCAAGCAAATTCAGATCCATCAAACCCAAAAATCAAAAAACAAAATATATTAAATTTTAATAAAATAAATTTTTCCATTTAAGTGGCGAAGGCATAATATACAAAAAAAAAAAAAAAAAAAGTGTTTCATTTTCAGGTACAATAGGTGGAAAGGCTGAAGGCTCTTTGGCCAGTTGTCGGTCATCATCTGTTTCAGACTCTGAAAGCTGAAGAAGGCCTTTTTCCTGGTCTTCCTCTTTCAATTTTAGAAAGCACAGCTCTTCCACTAAACCTCTGAAGACTTTTGGTTGTTGCAAAGCCATCCGACTGCAGTGCAGACAGGGGTCTTCTGCTATCTGTGGCTATCTGTGACAGGATGTCAAAAATGTCAAATGCTGACAGAGTCAAGAAGAGACTGTATATTTCTTGCTTTTATAATCTAAAAAGTACATTCCGGATAAACTTGATAGTAAAGTCAGCTGTATGTAATATGAGCATGTGCATTGCCTGGGCATTTTTGTATCATATCGCATGCAGTGTCTGTCCAAACAGTGACACTGATGCAGAAAATGTGCATATAAGCATGTTTACCTGGGGTTTAGTAATGTACAGTGTAAAACAGCAGCATATGAAAACCCAGGATTATTTGTCAACCCCAGGTAAATTATATTCTGTGTGAAACATGAAGCAAGATAAACCAGTATTGAGTTTACCTGGGGTTCACATACACCCAGTGTTAACTTTTTCATGTGTGAAAAGGACTCATGTTTTTCATTCTAATTAATTATAATAATCATAATAAAGAAATATGCAGAATATTATGCAAATGAACATCAATGAACAGCATAACATATCGCTGTTAGGTTGTGTGTTTTACTAAATTGTGCAGGCAAACTACAATTTGCCAAAAGACTACTATTAAATACCATTTCTTGCCACTGTATATTAACAAATAACTCACAAAGTTCATACTTTCTGAAGTGAATTGGAAGCTGCGCCATCTGGTCCTTTTAATAACACTGGGCAGTGGAAATTGTTGCAACAACTTTTTCCAAGTAAAGCTGAGTGTCTCTGAATCGTAATATGCCTGTATAAATAAAAAAATCTGCATAAAACATTGGTCAGCATCAGAAAATTTAACCATTGAAATAAAATACAGTGCCAAGTTAACAATCCATAAAGTGAGACGATCAAGTTCTAAAATATTAACAGACGTGATAACGCACTTCATCACATATAAAAAAAATAGACTAGAGAGAGACATGTTCTGTATAAACTGCTTATATAGGTGCTTTCTGACGCTTTGACGGAAAACAATGCATAGTTTTTTTTTTGCATAGCTTGTCCAAGGCTTTTCATTTGAAGTACGTTTTATTTTTATTGTATTAAAATAGAATTAGAATTCATTTAGATACTATTTATACACTTATTTGCTTAAAGTTGTCTTGTGTTTGATGCGAAAAAAAGCCAAAAGTTTAAGATTGTTTTAATCAGTTTGTACATAAAGAAATTATTATTATTAATAATTATTAACTCATTCATCACGCGAAAAGTCTTGTACCGGCAAATGACTTCTTCTCACCGGTGATTCCCGATGGTTTTAGAGGACAATTACTCCTCGTCGCCCCCTGTCGTTTCAAAGAATAGTACAACGGCGAACACGACAAGTATAAAAGCCTCGTCCGTTTGGGGAGGTGCACGCGCAGTCAGCGGAGGCTCGCAGAGCGGAGCCAGGAGAAAGTATAAATCCCGCTTAATGGCTTTTGATGGCTATTTATGGGCTATCGGCTCCAGTGGTGCAGATGGATAAGCGCTTGCCCTTGGCTTTTTGACGCGATCGACCCGGGTTCGATCCCGCCTTTGGGGAAGAAGTATGGGTCACCACTGATTGATGGATGTCTAAAACAGGCCAGAGGCCTGGCCCGCGTCTGAACTATGACGTGAAAATTGGCCCGAAGCCCGGCCCGAGGGGTGTAAAAAAGTCGGGGCCTGGGCTGAAATGCAGGGCTCAAGTTCGGCTATCAGAAATAAGTTTCTCAGTTATGAGGAGAATAAGAAACTGGCTCTGATCTAGCACACATAGAATGATTTGACTGAAAATTTATCAGAAGAGATGAAAGATAGTGGTCATCTATGCAATTTGGAAAAGAGGCGGCTTTTCTGCATTATGGTTTTTTTACTCTTTGTACAGCAGTTATTGTTCATTCTAAATGTATTTTTAATGTAGAATATATGTGTTACATAAGTACATGAAATGTAGAACATATAAAAAAATGGAGAATACAGAAAAAAAAATGGCTCATGGCTCGTCTGTCCCCCCACGCATAAAAGTGATGCTCCGCCTATGGTTGCCAGGTATGCATAACAATAATAGGCATTAATCCAACATCATAAAATGTAGCCACAGACACAGACAGTCATGTTTAGCTGTTTCAAAGAAAACGGAATGTAAGTTTGTAAACTTTTTTATTATTACTGTTTAATAATATTTTTCATTTTTAGAACCCATAATACAGAGGTTTCAACCAAAGTCAGAAAATCCCAGAAAACTAGTGCAATCAAAATGTTAGTATTACACAAAATTATATCAATTTACTTTGGAGTATTATTATTATTATTATTATTGTTGTTGATGTTGTTGTTATTTCTCACTGGCTTTATAAAGTTTGTGATTGCACATTTGTGTTTGTGATTCATGATTTGTCCTGATCAGGTTGTGAGTCTGTTAAAGAAGATTGATGAGATGATGTGGAATAATAACGCCAGTTTCTACAATGACAAAATGTTTCAGGAGCCCGAGAGAGCATTCAGACTCATGCAGATCAATAGAGAGAGAAGAGGAGGTCAGACAAGAGATGGAGGCAATTAAAGCCAAATATGAGATTGAAATAAAAAAAATTCAAGATGAACTAGAAGCGAAAAATGCAGGCAGATGATGGATGAGGCCATGAGGAGATACAAAGAGACCGCTGATATGCATGCTGCAGAACTCAAGAGAACTGAAGCCAGAAATGCTCAAAACATTAACAGCTGGGTGAAGGACCATGGAAAATCCTGTGTACTTCAATAACAAATGGTAAATGATTGATTTATAAGATTCTGTCAAATTAAAGTCAATATATAAAAACTGTTCTGTGCTGTTGAAAGGATCTTCCTAACCCTAGCAGGACATCTCATTCCATGAGCTTAACTTAAATAAATACATAAATAAATAAAAACAAATCAATCACTCTTTCTCTATGCTTTCAATATTTCTATTCCTCCCTGTTCAAGCTTACTATTCATGTTTATTGCCTCTTTGTGATGAGTGTAAATGTATATTTAAATAAGTTGGTTAATGTACTGACACAAAAATATAGTGTATTTTATACAAATAAAACTTACAAAAAAAAAAAAACAAAGTTTAAGGCTGATGTCTCTATTCATTTTCACAGAAGTAAAGCAGCAGATGTTATAAATAAAAACAGTTAACAATGTTATTGAATAGAATATATTACAACCGTTATTGCACGACATAGGCCTATTCTTATACACAGACAAAACAGTCGGAGATGCGTTTATGCTTTTTTTAATATATTTTATGCATTAGTAGTAAACTTCGCAAGTTCTCTTGTAAAATAAAATAATAAAACAACAACATGGAATAAACTGTGTACAGAAAGCGAGTAAAGCACTCTCAACATTAGGCTACTAAAAAGGTCAGTTTAATCTCGCAAAAACTACCGTTAATAAAAAATCTGACTACACTGCACAATTAATCTCTTACACTGCATCTTTGTTGTTTATGATGAATCCGGTGCTTGCACGTACACCGATCTTATTATTATTATTGCAGCTTAGATGTTCAACTAGCTGCAGCACTCCGACTTTGCCACAAGGAGCAGTGCGTACGCCTGCTCAGACCCTGACGTGACGGTAAGTACTTTTCCACGTCAAAGACCATTTTTATAAATATGAACGTTGCCGTGGATTTTAGCGTACGCACACTCTAAGATCAAATCTGTGCATACGCACATTTTATAAATGAGGCCCCTGAACTCTAGATCAGCACAACACACACATCAACTAAACTTTACTGAAGTGATCTTATAATATGATAATAATATGACTGAATCAGCAGCCACTGACCTTGAGTAATATTTAATTATTCAAACATTGTAGAAATGATGAGGATGATGATGATGCTGTTGTCTTTATTCTCTCAAGCTCCCAAATTAAACTCAAAGTAAATAACAGTACGTGTGTCATAATGCTTTTATAATGTGATAATGTCATAATAAAGGATCTGTTGTCTGAAGGTTTAACTATTCAGTCTCAGTGTTTCTGATTCATTTATGTGATTGAAATTTGCTTACAGCTAGAATGAGTTTTTAAAGCACAAATAAGCATCACATATATACAAAGTAAAAATGTTTTGACACACTAAAACACACCCTGCATATATTTACAGCTATTTACAAAAAAACAAAAAACAAAACAACAACAAACAAAATACAGAGCTCTCAGTGCAAAACCACTGATATTAACAGTGAATAACATCAGTGTAGAAACACATGAGATTCTGATCAAACATCAGTGAGTTATTGTTTGATTGTTTGGTGCTTTTCACAATCCACGTGTCGTCTCAAAGCAGCTTTGCAGGAGATTGTGCCTCAAGATCACTCTGTAATAATCTCTCTCATGTTTGAGACCGCACTGAATCAGGCTGATTCTGCTCCTGGTCTCCAGTATTCAGAGGACGCATCTCTTGTGTGTCTCCTGGGCTCTGGTTCTGCTGTGATCTTTTGACTCGTATAGATCTCACTTTGTTCTGCGTTTAGGACAAGACACGTCATTTAAACAAGTAACATCCTCATACTTTTGGATAACTATCTAGCATGAAGTAAAGTCTCCTGATGTTGCAGGTCAGTTTTACTCTCAAATCAATGCAGTTTTATGAATGACACTAACCTGACAAGACTTCAGACAGCTTGCGATCTCTGTGAGGTCAGAACAGAGAGAAAGACATTAGTGAATCTGTTTGAATCACATCGCTCTCAGAACTAGTCCTTCACTCAGACCTGCACGATGACTTATAGTTTTAATAACTGCTGTGTGGCAGCTTTGGTTTAAAGTGTTATGTTTAAATTGATCCGGTTGATCTATGCTCACACTTGAATCTCTCTGAATGACTGTAATGGTGACCGAGTGAGTGAATCTCAGTCTTAAGGGGCATTTTTAAGTGTTATGACAGAGTAAAGGGCAGGTTATTATTAGATTATTAGAGTGTGAGATGAATAAGGTAAGGTAAGAATCTCTCAGTTATTAAACACTCGCTGTCAAACAGCAGCTTCACAGCAAATCAACACAAACAGAGACACACAGCACTGAAGGAACAATCATTATATACTGAGAAATGTGAAGAAATGACAAGAAAACACACGAAGACATGCAGCTGATTTTGATGTAAATGTGATCTAATGGTTTGAAATGGTTTATACTCACTGGATCCTGAGAATCCAGAAATCAGCAGAGATGCAGCAAATAAACATTCAGAAGGAAAGACAATGAATCTCAGATCTGCCATCACACGATCACCGTTCACTGAAAAACACAGTTATTTTTAATATAATCACCACTGTATTGAGAAATTAATTCAGTCTTAACAGCTGATGAAAATTCATATTTTACTGTAGAATAACTGCTCCAGATAAATACAGGTGAATTCAGCTCATAATAATAATACATGTTTAAAGTAGATTCACCATGAACTTTCTTCAAAGTTAGTCTCCTCAAATGAAACCCTGTATATTAAAGAGTATGTTGTTCACTCACCTGTTTTGAGGATCAGTTCTGTTATTAATGCAGCAGAGTTCAGTAAAACTACACCGACTGATCCAAACACATACACCGCAACATAACGCTGGAAATCTGTCAATCAAGATTAAACATTTAATATGAGGTTCAGACAGATGCAACATGATAGTGATATTAATATCATACACAATCAATGAAACAATGCTTTATTTTAACTCATCAACATTTACTTAAATATTATTAGAGAAAATGAGGCCACATTAAAAGCTACATAAAACACATAGTCTTTGCTTGCTTGAATTATTTGATTTCTTACTAACAGTTTAATCTGATATGAATGATTTCAGTTATTAATTCTTCTACAGATTATCTGAGACTGACTGACTTTTTTCCTATGAAATATTTTAGCACTCATCATAAATTAGTTATCATTTGAAATCTTAAACACTCTCAATTCATCCTGTAAAACTGTTTTGTAATTGGACATTGTGTTACCATAGAAACAGCACTTTAAAACAAACCAGCAGGCATTTACAATATTTACTGCATTATTATTATTATTACTTTTTCTAAATCTTGACAAAACACATATCATTGCAACGGTCTGAGACTCAGGGTTCTGTATTTGGCCGCTGTTTTATGATAGAAGTGATATTGTGACAGAAAAGTATTCATTTGTGACAGGAGAATGCATCAAAACAATGTTCAATAGAGTGTGGGAGTTTGGCTATTTTTGGTACAGCGCCTGAATAAAATTACACAGAAAACTCCATTTTTGTTTTATCAACTTAACATTGAGAACACAACTGGGTCACCCTCGGCTTTGACTGCCCATCAGTTTTATAAAATATAGGCAATATTTTGCATAAAAAACTGAAATGTTTAGTGCTTTCACTTCAGCAATAATATCCTGAGTGTCTTCTTTAAAAAGCAGCCTGGTCTCATGTTTATACGTAGGTATTAATACGTAACATTTACAAGCACAAAACGTACACTTTTGTACGTTTTTATTAATGATAAAACGTACAATTTAGACGTATTTCAACGTTTAAAACGTACAAATCGCTACGTATTTTTAGCTAAAAAACGTAAAAATATTTACGTATCTTTTATATCAAGATATTCATATCAATGCATTTTTATCATTTTATCAATAAGCGATTTAGACCCCTTAACCTACCCTCAAACCTAAACCTACCCATTTTATAGCGAATATGCATTTTTATCATTTTATCAATAAGCGATTTAGATTTTTAGACCCCTTAACCTACCCCCAAACCTAAACCTACCCATTTTATAGCGAATATAAAAGGATATAAAACGCAAATGACCAAAATACGCAGGAAAATAACCATTTTAGTAACAATATAGCATCAAAATATTTTTGTAGTCGCTAATTCCACTCCTACCTATAAACCTAAACATTTCTGTACAGCATAAGAAAAACATGACAGACAGATGCCATTACAATCATTTATTTATTGCAAAAATGTCAAAAGCAGTACCAAAATTCAATATTCATAAGGATTCATTTTTAGGTGTCGTCAATACTCAATTTTGTACGTTTTAGTGCCTGTAAAAACGTAAGTAAATGTACTTTTATAGAACCACATTTTACGTAAAATAAATACGAATTATCATGAGATCACGTTGTAAAAAGAGACCAATCTTCGGACTGTACTCTTAAACATTCATGAATTAAAACCATTTCAGAGTTCAGAGCACTTTCTCAAAAGAGGATCGCCAGTAACAGGTTCAAGTTTAGTGTTTATCACTGATTCATATTGATTTATATTAATGAGATGAATCAATGTAACCGATCCCACTGTGTGTGACAGCCGTTTCCATCATTCACAACTTTATTCATTTATTTAGTCTTTTCTGAACACACACAGACCTGCTTAATATTGCTGGTCCTGCGCTGTTTAATATTGTGAAGCGCATGAACCCAAAGTGATGCAGAACAACATCACACAGAGAAGATGATCAAAGTAGATGATCGATACTGTACCTCGAGACAAGCTGAGAAAAGAGTAAGCAGCATCTGTGAAGAACATAACTGTCCAGAGTATCTGCAGAAACACCATCACACAGCCCCATCCGATCGGATCTGTAACACAATCAAATACAGTCACATTCTTCATCTTCATCTTCATCACACAGAGCAGCTGTAGATCAGAGAGTGAACCAGACACAACACAGATCAGATTCAGATCTCCATAAACACTACAGCATCCTGATCATGTGATCAAGCCTCTGAGACACCGCTCTGTTAACAAGTTCACATCAAAACACAGATATTACTGCACCTGTCTGATTGTCCAGAGTCAATATGTAGAGGCCGATCATCACTGCATTCGTCACTAATGTGAAGATTAACATCACTGTCCTCACGACTGAATATGATACTGAAAAACACGAGAGTGTGAGAATAACACTTTCATTCTGACAGAAACAGAACTGACTGAATAAAGAGAGACAGAGACGCCATGATTCAAATCACTGAAGAATCAAATCCTTCACTTCTGCTGGAGATTACACTCAAATCATCAGAGACACACACAGAGAGAGAGAGAGATTCAGAAATCAGTCATGAATACACTGACAGACTTTAATGTTTGGTCAAATCAGGGACAAAGACAACACAAACACAATCAACAACATGACACATTCATCCAAACTTGATAGATGATTTGACTTTGAGACTTTATTTCGAAGATGTGAAATAAATACAATAAAAGCTAATAAACAATACAACACAATACAAAACTATATTAACTTATACATGTCCGAAAAGGAGTAGGAAGAAGCATAAACTTATTTAATCCTACCCCTTCTCCACTCTGCATCGATAATAATAATCATAATTTATAATAATAAAAAAAACTATTATTTATAAATAATAATTTACAGTTTAATGCAGAATGTCACGGAATTTGTCAAAGTTTGGATGAATTAATGAAAAGTGATGTGGACTAGTATCTGTGACTATTAAGCCGCAAAAAGACTATTTAAAAATGAATCCTGCATTTATGCATGTCTCTGTGTAAATAAATGGCTCTGAGAGCAGAAAAAAAAAAATATGTGTATGTATATATATATATATATAAATAGCATCATATCATATACACACAGAAATTTAAAGGTATTCACAGCAACCCATCAAAATAAAAGTTTGGTTTAACTTGAAGAAGACATTGTGGCAGAAATATATAACTATAATTCAGTAGAATGTAAGTAATACTGCTACTACTACTGTTGAAAAATTAATAAAACGTTATTTTTTAAGGAATAATTACACAATATTTCTTCCATGTTTTAATTTTAATAGTAAATCTCCTTTATTTGCCCAAAAAAGTAACATTTGTTTAATTTTCATTAATTAAAAGATAAATAAAATTAATGTTTTGTCCCTTTATTTGATAACCAGAAAAATTTAAATACACAACACAGAATTCCTCATAAGGCTATTGTTGTTATGCTTTCAAATAATTAGACATGCTAAAACACAGAATTTGGTAACAATAAAACATAAGGTAAAGAAAATAAAACATTTCATAGGGCTCTAAACATGTACTTTTTGTTAAACTTTTAATAAACTGATGTTAAATTGTATTGTTTTCATGATTTTAATTAATTAGATATACGTAATTAATCCAGAAAAATTAAAACAAAAACAAAAAAACAGAATTTGGTAAAAAATAAAACATTTCATAGGGCCCCCCAAAAACTATTTTAACCCTGTAAAGCCTGAATGTTTTGTATCACATTTTGTACGAATGTTTTGGCTTTTATGGCTCATATAGTGAGAATATGAAGCTCAATGTACAGTTTTTTCACACATTTCTCAACACTAAAGTCACTTTTTCAAAACTCTTCACACAGTTCTCCTAACCATCTTTTAACTTGACACAGCAGTTCATTTCATATTCAAAATGCACTAAAACGACCAAAACACGTCATTAATGTCTCAAATCAACTCATTCTTTCATAACACTAGCAAAGGTTTTCACCAAACAAACACACAATGACCTCACAAACACTAACAACAGGTTGCATTAGACAATGTTTTCTTCTGTAAAGTTTCTTTAGAAAACAAGAGTAATACTCTCTACTGTTTATAGTTCACTGCAGTATATGTTACACATGTTTGCATTACAGTACAAAATTATTCCTAATTTTTCCCCTTTTGTGTAGATGGTAATGAAAGTGCAAGACTAACACTTGTGAAGATGTTCAGCTACATGCAGCTGCTTTGATTGTATTTGATTTTCTGCATTCAGAATATTTGTCTATATGATATTACTGTAGAAATGTTGCACATTTCTGTCTTATTCATTTCTGTTCTGTGCTAGGTTTTAAGCTCACGTTTAACAGTTTTGAAAACAGTATGCAAGCATGTGCAAATTGGCTTGTATAGTACATCAAGTTTTGCTGGTGTTTGTGTCGAAGTGAGAAAAGAATTCATGTAATTTAACAGATGTCGTCAATGAATGCATTTTGTGCCAAAGCAATGATAAATGATCCAGAGTTTAGCCCACAGACACTGATGTTGTGCTCACTGTGTGAAGAGTTTTAAAAAAAGTGACCCAAGTATTGAGAAATGTGTCTTAGCGATCATAAAAAAACTGTAATTCAGAGACTCAATCTGTATTTGCTGCAGATGCTGATATTTCTATGATGGAATTCTGATGCTTGTAATGTAAATCAATGAGATCTTTATAACAGCATTCCTGAAGATCATGTGACACTGAAGACTGGAGTAATGGTGCTGAAAATTCAGCTTTACATCACAGGAATAAATTACAGTTTAACTGAGATTCACAGAGAAAACAGCTATTTTAAATTGTAATACTATTTCACAATTTTTACTGCATTTTTGATCAAATAAATGCAGTCTTGTGCAGAACAGACTTCTTTCAAAAACACTAAACATTCCCGGTGAGCCCAAGCTTCTGTATGTAGTTCAGATGAAGACAGATTTCAGCAGAAACTTGATATATTTGAGAACATTAGTAGCACAGAGCCATGAACGCTGACAGCGTCTATAATGTCTCCATGTTTCTAGATGAATATGTCTCTTTGTAAATTCTGGATCAGTTCTAGATTCAGCTCACATGAATATTCCTCAGTTCTGAGTATTTCTGGATTATTTTGCTGCTGTTGTAAAGGCAGAGTTCAGCTCATCACATCACTCCAAACCCTTCGTTTAAGACTGACGTTTGCATTCTTGAACGAGGAGGATGACATGTTTCTGAAGGACTGCTGCTGTTCTTTATGTCTGAGGAGCAGTTACTGAACTCATAATATTGTTACTGTATGAACTTCGAGTAATTAAGCAGAAGAAAATGTCTATATTTACATGCGAATGAGTCATCTGACAGGGTTTTTTATTTATAATTACTGTAGCAAATGAAGATTTTCAACCTGAAAATGAAACATTTTTTTCTTTTTCTCTTTTAATTCTTTCTTTTTCATTATTTCATTCATTGTTTTTTCCCCTTCATTTCATTTCATTTTCTTTTTTTTATTGTTTTCTTACTTTTTGCACTTCATGCAATTATTTTTTCTTCATTTTCTTTCACGTCTTTTCTCCTTTCTTTTGAATTGTTTTTCTTTTATTTATTTTCTTTATTGTTTCTTTTTTTCTTTTTTTACTTTTTTTCTTTAATTTTTTTATAGTTTTTTTTTCTTTTACATATTTTTATTCTCCATTTCTTTAAAATTGTTTTTTTTTTCATTTATTTTCTTTTTTTTTTTCATTTTCATTTTTCGTTTTATATTTTTTTCATTTCTTTTTTTGTTTCATTTCCTTCTTTTATTCATTCATTGTTTGTTTTTTCTTTTAAATACATTCCAGTGTTTCACATTGCATGTGTAATGCACTACATTGAATGTCAGTAGCATGTCATTTTTAGTTGATCATTTACATGAATCCCCCTCATTAGTTGTTAGAGTTATTAATATTAATAATTATTTTTGATGTAGAAAAGCATTGATGGATTTTAATGATTTTTAATCTTAATTTTTATCTTATTTTCTGTCTATGGGATTTTAATGATTTTTAATCTTCAGTTTCATCTTATTTTCTGTCGGTGGCATTTTAAATGATTTTTAATCTTCATTTTCATCTTATTTTCTGTCTATAAGATTTGAATGATTTGTAATCTTCAGTTGTATCTTGTGTTTTGTCTATGGGACTGAGCTCTGAATGCATCAGTGAATCAGGTCATTATATGAAACACAGCTCAATAAAGGAACCGAACTAGAAACCGGATGTGCTGTGATTTTTAAATACTCAGTGAAGCTGTTAACACTGTAAACCGGCTGCAGCTCACAAACAGATGCACAGATGATGTTGTAAATGCATCCCATGCAAAATAAAACAAGTCCTGAAGTCACATGATTCAGTAAGTGTAATCTGATTTGAGGAATCACTTTGTTTCTGTGAATAAGTCATCATCATATGACTGTGTTTCTGCAAACACTGATGATTAATATCACAGAGACACTGATGATTAATATCACATAGACACTGATGATTAATATCACAGAGACACTGATGCAGTTCAACAGAGATCAGATCACGATTCAGCAGATACTTACAGTTGAGCCCATCACTGGAATAGCATTTATAAAGCCATCTGTCATTTGTCATCATCATCAGTAACACTGGTAAAATGACAATCATGATCAACCCTAAACACAGGAGAGGAATTATATTAATGCTGGATATTATAGTTCATCAGCAGGTTCACAGCAGATTACAGTAAATCATAACGAACATCAGTCTCAGTCAATAATGAGAGTTATAATGTGACACTAGAGAAGAATTAAAATGTTCAAATGTCAACAAAATGAACACAAATGAACCACAATCATTATGAATATGAACTCACCTGCTTCACCACCGGCTCCAAAAGTGTAGAAGAGGAGGATGAATTGTAAAGTAGGCAGAATTTGAAAGGTCATATCAGCCACAATATCAAAGATTTTAACTATCCGGCCACTTTTCTTCCCAACCTCTGTAACTAAAACTAGAAGAAACAGTTTTGATCATTATGATCTGATTCGATTATTTGATAGAAGTTGTGAGCCATTAAAATGGCAGAATTTAAAACAACAACAAACAATAAAATCAACAACAGAAACAGATGAACTGAACGGAATTAATTAACACGACTGTGTTTCTAATTAAAAAAACTGCATTATGATATTATAAGTAAAAGACCACTATGTACTATTTCTATTAATACTCTAAACTGTCAGATCTGAACATTAAAATCTGTTTGTACATCATTATCGAAATCTAATGTGTATTGCATATAGATTATTACATTACAGTTTTTCTCAGTTGCTTTGACACTTTTCTTCAAAGTAATGTAATTGGTCTCAAAACTATTAACAGAGCTATCTAAACACACTCTTCACACACACTCCAGCAAAAAGAAGCGCTGCATTGTTTCTATTAATGTACTTATTAAAAGTAAATACTGACGTCAACAGATGTCTTCTCTATTGAATTAACCACAAATGTTCAGCTATAGATGCACAAATACATTAACAAAAACACGTTTTTTTGTCAAATTCTTCAGGAGGGAGATTTATATACTGTTCGGTGGAATTTTGTCATACTTTTAAACTTTGCCAAACTGCTTTAGTTCAGCCAAATACACGTTCACAGCTCTGTATATATACAGTATGCAATGATCCACTGCTCTTCTTCCATTCAAAATGAGCTTGAATGTTGTCAAACTTCAATTCTGAAAAATGCTTGGACGTCTAAAGAACTGAAGTTGTCCCAGGAGGACTGCAAACCTGCACTATCAACAGTACAATAATTATGAATATAGAAGTGGATTGAGTTAGTAACTCTTCAGATCTGCCCACTCCACCACCTTTCACACTTACACCTTTCTTTTCACATATTCTTGCATACTCTTATTCTTTTCATGCTCTTTGTATACTTTCCCTTTTTATAGTTAAAGCAGTCGTGTTAAACGTGTGAACAATTAGGAAAACGGCATTTTCTGATATTTTAAAGATTTAATTGCCTGTATTAACTGTTATGAGAACATCAGAGCATTTTGTGCAGTGTTTTGAGAAAATGATTCACGTGATTTGTGATTTGTATGAAATGATTGAAAACGTACAATCTGTTTAGGATGATTACAAGTGTTTGGAGAAATGTGTCAAATAGACTGTAAAGTGATGAAGGACGTTCAGTTTCATCTCATTCACTCAGTGTGTCTCTGGTACCTGATGACTGACAGGAATGAATCACGCAGAAATACTTACGGTAAATGATTTTGCAGAGGCAGCACACAAACACTATTGCAAACAGCACTATTACCACGGCTCTGTCAAACGCATCATAATTCAGAAGTTTTTGCCAAGCACTTGTAAAAAGAGCTGGAAGAAAGGAAGAGATAAAAAAGAAACTAGTATTATCAAATATACACACAGCCGGAATATAAACACAGGTAAGAAGCACGACAAACACTCCTGTCATGAATGAAACTGAGGTTTTTAATGTAAATCATCTTGCAGTATTGTATTTCACTGACAGCCTGTGATAATCTGAGGTTCAGCGTTTTGTTTTCAGTGTGTTCCTGATACTGACCCCGTGACCTTTGTGCTGCTCATATGACGTGTGTCATGACCACAAAACATGCTAAGAAAGAATTTAGTGGTAGTTTTAGTTTTAAACTCCGTTGAGTTTGTTAACGTAAACTGATATTTAAGTGTAACAATGCAGATTTCGTTCATAATGAGCTGTAGATCAGTGTATTTAATAAGATCATAAAAGTGTTTCAGTCCTATAAACATACAGAGATTCACTGAACACACGTACTAACACAAATCATGCTTCATGTATGAGCTACTTAATGTTTCTGCATATGTTATGCAGAATATTCAGAATATTACAATCAGATTCTGACAAGCACAGTTTTTGTTTATTTCTGTTAATGTGCACTTTAATGTGTTCATGATAATGATAATTGTTTACCTGAATAAACAACAAGTGAGAGAACTAAATATTCTGCCACGTAACTGTATTTCAAAATCAATGATTTGATTTTGCCTGTAAAACAGAAAATATTTAATGATTACAATCACAATATCATTCACAACATCAACAAACTGAAACAAAATGCCACTAATACACAATTTAATGAAAGTTTTAATCAATTCTCTTTTGGTAAATCACACAAAGATTAAATGATGTCTGAACATCTGGGTATATAGTTCACTTTCTGATCACTAAAACACAGATCACATGAATCATACCTGTAAAATTACTAATATACGGAGCTGCCCAGAGCAACAAGAGAGGTCTCAGAAAATAAAGAGCACAACAAGATACTGTCTCGCTCAGAGAGCCTGAAACAAAACAAAAATATATATAATAACGTATCTGCACTAACAAAACACTAATATGTTACTGACATATTATAATGCATTGATAAGCAATCAGTAGTGAAACACTGACCTTCAGAAACACCCCAGAGGACAAAAGCAAGAAACATCAGAACATTTGGACAGAAGACTAGAGCCACCTGAAGACGGAAGACTAGATCTAGAGAGAAAAACAAAACAAAAGAACTCACACTCAGTCACATGGTAAATTATTCTTTTATTAAATATTCGTCCCACTGGTAACACTTTAGTATAGGGACTAATACTCACTGTTAACTAGTTGCTTATTAGCATGCCTATTAGTAGCATATTGGCTGTTTATTAGTACTTATAAAGCAAATATTAATGTTTTATTCTGCATGAACATATGGTAAATCTCTTAATCCTGCCCAATACCTAATCTTAACAACTACCTTACTAACTATTAATAAGCAGCAAATTAGCAGTTAATAATAAGAATTGGTCCCCAAATTAAACTGTGACCGTCCCACTTTATATTAAGTGTCTTAACACTCGTGCGCTGTTCAGGGTCATTTAAGACCCAAATGATGTTTGCTAAAAAAAAAAAAAAACTTCCCTTCATCCAAATGACATGAAACTTCATGACTTTGTCAACACTTACTAGCTCTGCAAAAAAATACAATAATAATAAATAAAAAAACAAAACAATTAGGATGATATCTGGTTGCATGTTACTGTAAAAAACTAAATTGCACTCAGGATGTTCGGGGTGTCTGGAGACCCCACATTTAAATGCATGGGAAAACAATAAAATAGATTCCTTTTCTTTTTAAATTGTCAAATAACATCACTACATAATCCACAAGCAGAACACAAAATACACAGAAATTAAGAGTCAACCCTTGCACACATTCATAATGCAGAACGCTCGCACTCACATGCACACACACACACACACACACACACACACACACACACACCACCCTCCAAAAAAATCAATCTTAGAAACCAATGGGAGACTATAAAATATTGCTTTCTGCTACATAATTTGTCCAAAAAGTCAGTTACAATGCAGAAAAAAAAAAAAAAAAACTGAAGGGGTGATACCACATCACAGGGAAAAACACATACAACCCCCAACCCACCCTCCAGAGCCCCCCAAACCCACATAATTACTCATAAGAAATGAAAAGTGACACGATACTGTGAAGTGGCTGTCTCTTACATAATTTGTCAAAAAAAAAACAGCTACGATGCAGAACACACACAGAAATGGAGTGACACCACAACACATCCATGATGGAGACGAAATGCATACACACACACACACACACACACACACACATACACATATACACACTTATTCACACATATAAAACCATGTTCAGGTTTGACTGTAATAATGTGCCATAATTGCATAAACATACAGTGTAATAATGTCATAAATGATACTTCAGTACAAAAAATGTTAAACTTTGATAGTCATTTTATATTGTTATAATAATGATTTTATAATGTCTTAACAAAGATCTAAAAAAAAAAAAAAACTTGTGAAAAGATGCATGTCTTTTTAAAGCAAATTTTACTTAAAGAGTATTTTTTTTTACTAATTTTTAAAAATATTTTTCAATTTATTTATATAAATAAAAAAGAAATACAATAAACCATCCCAAAACTGCACAAATGTAGAGGAAAAACATTAAATTACATTATTACGGGGTGTGGTTATGACTTGTCTTTTTAGCACTTTTTGTGAGCTCCTGGCATTATTCTGTTAAAATCCTGTGCAAGGCAAGGCAAGGCAAGTTTATTTATTATCTAGCACATTTCATACACAATGGTACTTCAAAGTGCTTTACATGAATGGAAGTAAAATAATCATTAAATACTACTAATAATAATAATAATCACAACAATAAAAACAAGGAATTTAAAAAATGTTAGTGATCTGCTCTTAACACACACACACACAAACATTCTGAAGCTTTGTTCAAGCTTTTCGCCACTAAGTGAAAAATCCTTCCAAAATACCCAACTATTCCACTACTTCACACCCTACTTACTTTGACCATTATAAACCAAACAAATAGAACTCAGAGGTCCTACTTTCAGCAGATTAACCAACAAACTTGTCTTTCTTTGCCCACATTCTCTTTGCCTTCACAGCATTTCTTTACATAAAATGAAAATAATCATATAAAAATAATCACAACAATAAAACAAGGAATTTGAAAACTTTTAAAATGATTTAAAAATGGATTTAAAATGAATTTAAAACAATTAAAAATAGAAAATGATTATACATAAAGTACATATGTACTACTATATATAAACCTGTGTGCTGTTGAAAAAGCTAAAATTAAGCACAAATCGAAATCATCCCCAGTGAAGGAACAGGACATTGAATGGGGTGCTAGTAGTGCAGTTAGCTCAACGGGCGCTTGCAGTACCCCCCAGTCTGAGGAAATTTGCACAAACACTAGGCAGAATCTAGACGTGATTCAGACATTGGATGCAATGAGAAGTGACTTTGCCACAAAGCTCTAAACATGAGTCATGATGTTAAAAGGATGTGAGGGATTTTTCGGGGCGCATGGATCTGGCCAAAGAGCGCATTAGCAACATGGAGGCATTAGCAATAATTTGAAAAGATGTGGTTTAAGGCATCAGTATTTTATTTTGTAAACTTTGTAATAATGCCAGGAGATTCAAATGTCTCCTGTTTGTTTTATTGCTCTGTCTTTGTATTTTGATTAAGCTAATTGTTAGCTTGATTTGGTTTAACTGCTCCCTTGTTGACATTGGATCAGTGTTGGGACGTAACTATATCCCATGGTGATGGAGTGGGGATGGGGGTGGGACTGACTGTATTGTTCGGATGGACAGCATGCGGGATTTGTTCACGGCAGCTTTCTGAGTTATTAGTTTGTTTTTGTGTCCTTTTTTGTAACTCCTTACCTTGTCAGCCCTTTTGGTTAACTTCCACATTGAATATGTATTTATTATATTTTTGCTGTTCTTATATTGTACAATCTGTCTTAAGGTAAAATTTTATCTAAATAACCCCAATTTTTGGGAAAATATTTATTTATTTTATTAATTGCCTTTCTTCCCGGTACAGCTATAATAGCAGGTGACTTTAACTGCATCCTTGACCCGTTGCTTGACCGTTCATCAGGACTGGATGGCTCTCAATCTCAAAGTAGGAAAACAATTTGACAAGCTATGAAAAATCTTAATTTATGTGACCCTTGGATAACACAAAATCTATTAAAATAAGAATATTAATTTCCCATCTTCTTCTAAAACCTCTTCTCGTATAAATTATGTTTTAATTTATATTTCCCTACTTACAAATATAGACATTTGTATATATGATCCTCATTATTTTATATGCTGCAGATTCACAATTATCCAATGGTTACCCTACATGGCGGCTACACCCGAAATGGCTGCAGAATACTGACTTTGTTAAATTTGTTGGTGAACATATAGACCTGTACTTTGCAATAAATACTGCCCAGACTTCAGCATCCACTGGATGGGAAGCTTTTAAGGCATATCTTAGAGGCCAAATGATTAGTTATACCAGTTCTGCACCTAATACATTTAAACAAAATAATAATAATAATAATAATTATTATTATTATTTAGATGCTGAAATTAGATATTTAGAGAAAATTATAAGCATAGGAAAATCCACTCAAATTAAACAGAAATGATTAGTCCTAAAAACTGAATATGAGGAATTTTCCACACACACACACACACAAAGACTTAAAACCGTTATGATCAGGGTGAAAAACCCAGCAAACTGTCAGCTTGGTAAATTAAGTAACTAATATCAGAAAGAGCCATTAATGAAATCAGGAAACTGCTACAGATCCAGAGGAGAGAATACTTTCATTTTGTTCTACAAACCTCTGTATCAAACTGAATTTCCAATAAGTTCCTCCAATCAAAACATTTTTTTTTTTTTTTTTTTGATGGGTTGGATATTCCCTCACTCTCTGAAGAGACAAGATTTGAGTTAGATAGGATATAGGAGCTGAGAGGTTTCCAATGCCTTTCTCCGCATGAGGGGTGGTAAAGCAATGGGTCCGGATGGGCTCCCAATTTACATTTATAAGGAATTCAAAGAAAAATTGATAGCTCCTCTACTGGATATGTATGTAGAAGCTTTTGAACAAGGTTACTTCCCTCCTTCATTTAGAAGTGCTCTGATTACTCTTATCCTGAAGCCTGGGAAATTGCCTGCAGAATGTAGTTCCTATAGGCCAATCTCGCTTTTAAATGTGGATACAACATTTGTAGCTAAAGCCTTGGGAATGAGACTTGAGAGGGGTCTACCACTGGAACCATTTGCAATAGCAATAAGATCACACCTTTCAATTTGTGGTATTTATACAGGAGTCCCTGTATAAATACCACAGAACATTGTCTTGCATTATATGCGAATGGTGCGATTGTATTTTTATCAAAACTTGAAGTCATTGCCATCCCTTTTAAAACTTATTGACATGTTTGGCAACTTTTCTGCTTTTAAAGCAAATAAAGACAAGTCATCAATAATGTTTCTAAATGAGCAAGAGAGAATAAATCCAAAGGTAGCTCACCCATTTGTAAATGCTGTAAACGGCCTGGAATACCTTGGAATTACTATAACCCCTAAGATTAGCTCTCCCAGTTCAAATAATTATGATCACCTGTTAGCTACCGTATCAGAAGAGACTACTAGATGGACAACACTGCCCCTGTTTTTAATGGGAAGAATAAAAGTGATTAAGATGAACATACTACCTACATTTTTATATGTTTTCCAATCCTTATCACTTGCCTGTTTGTCCTGTTTGCTAGCATGAGTCAAAGGAGCCAAGTCCCATGTCTATATGATGTTCTGATGCAGAGATATAGGTCTTTCTAAACGGTTGCTAGGGAGTGGCTTGGCAGATGCCAGTGATGATACTCCATCAGCTGCTTTCAAGTATGAATGATATAATCCAACCCACATGCCTCTATTATATTTGGATTTGAAGATATCCCTCTTTAGGTTTGGGTTGCTAGGGTGTGGCTAGGAAGTGGCGATGGTGACTGGTAATTGGCTGTTTGCTGCCCCGAGTCAAACGAGACCACGTTCATGTTTCTATAACACTCTTTGAATGGAAGTCTATGGAATTTGTTTGGAATTTGTTGCTAGGGTGTGGTTACAGAGTGACCAGGAAGATGCTTAAGACTGATTGGCTTACTGAATCAAACGAGCCCACCCCCATGTCTCTAAGTTATTCTGGTTCTGAGATATGTCCAGTTAAGTTTACGATATAGTTTCTAGGGTGGTCTAAATGGTTACTAGGGCATGGCTAGATTGTTGCCAGGGTGATATTTAAATATTTAAAATCCCCACCACTTTTTTGAAAAATCTTGTGGCACAGACGTACCTAATGCAGATGAAACACTAGTTTCTGTTAAATAGAAAGTTTCTGTTAAAAATGAGTTCTGTGTCGATTCACAAGCACCACTAATTACTATGATTCAAACTCACTTATATATGTTTACTGGAAACACAGATATATAACTAATAAATTAAATGAACCTACAGTATTGATTAAGGCTACAAAATTAGGTCTTCTTTTCTATTGACTTACCTAGTAATCTCAGTATCAGATTTGTCTCGGCTGAAAACACAGATCTCTGCTGACTGTAAACATTACATGTGTATCGTCCCTCATCTTCAGCTCTCAGATTGTCCAGCCGGAGGGAGAAGTTTCCATGTTGAATCTCCTCAGTAAAGAAATGAGCTCTATCCTGATAATCCTGCTGCTGTTTCTCTGCTCGACTCTTACCATCTTGATACAGATGAACTAAAATCTCAGAGTCTGAGTCTGAGAAGTCTGAGTCTGAGAAGTCTGAGTCTGAGTCTGAGTCTAAGTCTGTTCTTCTCCATTCCACATGCAGACCCTCCACTGGTAAAGGTTTCTGACCATGAGATGACAAAACCACCGAAGATCCCAGAGTGGCAAGTATGTGACATTTAACACCAAACCCTTAAAAGAAAAGAAAACAAAATATTTTCTAATGTGAAATACATGTTAAGGCAAATAAACAGTAAGGACTTTGTGTTTTGTGTATGAATTCTAATTTTAACAAACATTTATAAGGGCACAGAAGATGCGGGAGCCTATTGCTTGTGTTTTCTCCTCTTGTTATTCTTCTGCAATGGAAATCATTTTCCGAGAGACTTAGTAGCAGTTATACTAGATATTCATGAGTAGAACTGAATAATTATAACAAGTCTACATTTATTTTCTGTGCAGCATTTTTTCCCCTCCACAATAGTCTATTATTGTAGTTTTACACTTTTATGCAATATCTGTTAATAACATTCATTTTAATTTAGTTTAAGTTTTTATGAAATGCAATCAGATACGTCTACATACACATTATTATTCAACATCGTTGAAACTGATTAATTAATACTGCATATGACCAGTCCAGTGGTGCATAACAATATCAGACAATTATATTTATGACTGAAGTAACTAAAATGATCATAATATTATTTTAAAATCAGGAAATGCAATGTTTATATTGTAACTAAGCCACTAAATTAAAATCATATATTGACCAGGTGTAAAATAGCAGGTCCAGCTACTTTCACTTACCCAGTATCTCGACCTCTGCGTCAGCTGAATGCACACAATCCTGGTCACTGTAAACTTTACATGCGTATTTTCCAGCATCTTCTGCTCTCACTTTTTCCAGACGAAGGGAGAAGTTTCCATCTTCAATTTCATCAGTAATGAAATGAGCTCTGTCATGATAATTTTTGTGCTGTTTCTTTGGTCGACTTTCACCATCTTGATACAGATGAACCAGAGTCTCTGAGTCTGCTCTTCTCCATTCCACCTTCAGATTTTTCTGTAACAAGTTTTCGTCAACCTGACAGGGCAAAACCACTGAACCTCCAAGAGGAACTGTCTGATCATCAGTGGAACCTTTCACTTCGAACTCTGTAAAGGAACAGACACAAAGTTTCTAATGTGAAATAACTACAAACAAACAAACAAACAGATAGATAAATACATTGATATATATTTTGTCCATTGTAATGTTGTGAAGACTTTACATTGCTGGTGATAACCAATTACTCTCACTCTCTGAGCAAACTGCACTCAAAAAAATGATTCTTGGCACATTTTTTTATTAAGTATATGCATCTATTTGATTTTATTTAAATAATTATTGGTAAAAAAAAAAAAAGATGTACTCCGATTACATAGAATCAATATGAATCTGTTACCTGTCAAAACTATTAGATTTAATCAGTTAAAAATTATGAATAGGGTTTAAATACAGCTGGCTCTGAAACAAGTCAGATCCAATTAGTTAAATTGCATGAGATTAGTTTACATACAAATGGAATAGTTTACAATACTCCAGTCGGTAGGTGGCGGTACTGCACAATAACGTGTCTAAAGCGGCTTTGGTAATGCACGTGCAAATTAAAAAAAAAGCAGTGCCAGAAGAAGCGTTCTTCTGAATCTCCTTACCATTTTGCATTGGAGCAGCCTGGATCAAAATCTATTTGCAAGGTAAGCTATATCTTCAGGGTGTTCGCGGGGTCTTAAAAAGTATTAAAAGTTGATAAATCAATTTAGAGAAAATTAAGGCCCTTAAAAAGTATTAAAAAGTCTTAAATGTCATTTCCCAAGGTATTACATTTTGTATCATCTTTTCATTATGTATATTTGTCGAATAGTGGGGTTCTGTGTATTTTATGTATGCAATCCCGCAAGATTTGACGTCATCTGTTACAGCGCTCACTGACTGACTGTGCCGCTGCGTGATAGCGCGGGGATTATTGATCCTGCTCTATTTGAACTTCTGACCATTACCGCATGCTCCCATCCGCTCCCGCAATTTTTGTGTGCGCTCCTGCAAACATTCTAATATTGTATATAATTTTCGCGCATCAGGGCACCGCTATCAATATGTGGGGTATTTAAATCCCCTTTGAATGAGTGCTCGCAGTCATAGTTCACTTTCACATTCGATTTCGCACTGTGTAAAGGGAACACATCCTACGATAAAATATATTTGTCAGTGAGCTCGGGATCTGTTGAGGAGCAAATCCTCCAACATCTTGTCAGTTATCTCCTTACTTTTAACCCGCGATCAGTCAAATCTGACTTCTGCAGCTCGTGTTGGATGCAGGGTTGTGAAATTATTCATGAGAACAACTGATTATAGTGTGTATAAGACATTATGAATGCATTTGCGCTACACTGTAAAAAATGATTGTGATTTTAACAGTAAAAGACTGTAAAAATGCTACAGTAAAAAACTGTTAACTGGTTAACAGTAAGTTTTTATACTATATACGGTGAATAAATGTTATTACATTTAATGTAATTTCACAGTAAAATACTGTTAAAAATACGGTTTTTGGAAGTGAAAAAGAAAAAGTCATTGTATAATTTACAGTGAAAACCGCAAATTGACACTCCCAGAATTCCCTGCATGACACTTCATATTGGATGCTTTTTTGTTGAAATAACATGTTTCTTCTTAGTTTTTTCTTATCAGTTGTGTACATTAGGGTTCAATCTTACATCTAATGTTGTTAAATTAATGTGTATTGCATTTTTTCAGTATCATGTGTGTCACCATGATGGGGTTTAGTGTTTGTGTGAATGACACTGTGTGCTCCTTCTATATATGAGTATTGTCCTCCTCAGCTCATAGAAAAGCTGTTTGTGATGAGCTTTGGTTCATCATGTGACTTTCTCATCACCAACAGTTTTTGGTGGTTATCAGTTCGTTACAATGGTTCAAAACAGATATTAACACTTAAAATATGTTGGTTTATTAACATTACATCAATTAATGAAATACGGTATTTTATTGTGAATTTAAGTTAAGTCTGTAAAACCTAAAATGTTGCTACCATATTTTTTACGGTGAAGTTCTGGCAACCACAGCTGCCGGTATTTTACCGTAAATGTCACAGATTTTTTTTACAGTGTACTTTGGGATGTTTTTTTTTTACTGGCATGGGCTTGGGATGCACAATTAAACTGATGTAATAGTTGTGATCATTATTTTACCTTCCATGATCATTCAGACACGATCAGGTGCAGTATTACTGACACTCAGTCAAGTCTGCATCAAATCAAGCACTCCGTAATCACAGGTAAACTGTCTGATCAGTCAGGTGTTTGTCATGAGAAGTGTTCCACAAAACAGCTATGGTTTGGTCTTAAAATGTATGGAAAGAGTCTTTAAAAAGGTCTTAAAAGGTATTAAATTTAACGCCATGATTCCTGTATATACCCTGATCTTATATGTACTCAGTGTATATTATTTGACAGATTTAATTGTATATATATATGTATTATTAGTGCGGTTGATATCGTATTACACTAATGTCAATGCACGGACTATCGTTTAATTCACTAGCTAACTAATGGTACTAATTATAGGGGCTGGGTTGAAATCTGTTTTTCGATTTTAATCGTTTCTCATTGTGACAGTGATCTCATTGTAAATCCTAAGAATCGATAGATGCTGTTTTCACTTGATTCGTGAACAAAACTTAATAAAACATAATAAATCACAGTAAGTTTTGCTACTTGTGATATGAAAACAGTTTCAGTGTTAAATGTAACGTGAAAGATCATTTTAACACCTCAGTACAAGCAGCAGTGCAGAACTCACATGAATCGATCATCTCTTCCTCTGTATTTCTAGTTACCACAGCAAATAAACATGAACGATCATCAGAAGGTGTTGAAAGAAACAGAATCACATCTCATGTAATTGCTCAGTCAGAGTTTCAAGACATCAAAGAAATGGCTTTTAAACAATGTCATATAAAAGCCATTGAGTGAGTATAAACTCTAAACTTGTTACTTAACTAGAAAAAAATAAATAAAAAGGAAACTTTTGCTAAATATATGCACTAGATGACATTCATTATATTTTTACTTTACTTGTTATTTAAGACTAATTTATTCAAAATTACATTACATATTGAAGAACAAGTTATGACGTCCACTGTTTAAATGTTTTTATTTCAGCAAACTGGAGAAGAAAAATATAATTAGAAATGTATTATTTAAAAAATAATAATAATATAAAAACTTGCCTTACATGCAATTTAAATGTTTCTTTACAAATCACTGTAATATACTAATGTACCAATTGACAGGGTTTATTTTATAATTACAGCATTAGCGAGATTTTTAACTCAGCTTTAGCTTTATGTCTGAGTAAATCAATGACTAATGTCGTGTTTTTGGGATCTTGTTGTTCTGCATGTTTGAGAATGAAGACAAAAATCAACTGCAATTACATTCCGAGGAGCCCAAGTATCTACCTCAATGAAGACATGGAGACACTCATTAAAGAATATGTGGTAAGTGTATGTCAACCTGCTCTTTTTACAATTTAAATGTCTTATGGATGTATTTACATTGATAGTTATGTTAATTTTCTTATTGGCATCACAGTATCGCTTTGCTCATGTGTGTGTAGTATGCAGCAAATTAGCTCATTTTTGATTTGATATAACTCACTATCTCTTAGTAGAGGTAACTAGAAGTTAGTATGAAAACTTGAGTATTGGTAACTGTTTTGCAAGTTCAGTCAACTTAAAGATTTAAGTACATTGAATTCAAAATACTTTTCTTAACAAGCTTGTTCTCTACACTTCATTTGAGAAATAATAGCACATTCGAAGCTGTTACAAATGGCAATGCAGAGTAAAGTTTAAGTACAAATAATTACAAAGAAAGATCGATTAATAAATTTAAAAAATATGACATTTTGAAGTAAAATACTGAAATGGTGTTTTCTTGCAAAAGGTACTCAATGTTTAATGCCTTTTTTAAAATTATTATTTTATTTTTTTATGCAGTGCAAGTGATATCAAGCCACTTCACCGTCCTGGAACAACACGGTCATGTCACAGCTCATGTTTTTAAGCTTGGCTGTGTCCAGCTCCATCAGAATTCTCTTCTCCTTAAGGTAGTATAGTTCAGAATAACTGGCTATACATTTAATTCTGATTTTATACTGCCAGGCCAAAAAAGGTCGCTGTCTGGATTTAAACGAGTAAATACTTGATATTTAAGGATTGACTCATTACTTGAAGTGATTAATATGTTTCTGGCATGTTGGCAACAATTATTTTAACCCTAACTGATGCAGTGTGTAGTCTTTTATTTCTCAAACAACCAGGTCGAAAGTTGTACCCATGTTTGTATTCCAGGATAACAATGTCAAGATTCATCAGGCTCAAACTTTGAAAGATTGTCCACCACAGAGTCCTGACCTAATCCCTATTGAAAATCTTTAGGATGTGCTGGAGTCTATAGCTTTCATAATATTGTGCTTTGTTGTGGCATTGTTTAAACAACATTATGCAACATCACAACATTTATTTCCATCAAGAGTTGCATTTATTTTTGGCCTGGATCTTGTATTGACAATGGGAGAGTCTAGCCACTCTGTAAAGTCGGCTCCAGCACATCCTCAAGACATTCAGTAGAGTTAAGCTCAGGACTGGTGATCAGTTCATACATGAAAATGATTCCTCTTCAACCCAAATATTCAGATGTGTGCAGCACATTTTATGGAGGACTGTTTCCTGATCCTGGGAGAGTAGACTACAATGCCGGCTGTTCTGACTCACAGACAGTAAGTACGTTTTTTATATTTAAAGAATTTGCCACTGATGATTCAAACGCGAGTTTTGAGCAGTGTAGAGTAGTGAGCAGCATCATATGACCCCTTTAAGTAATGACATTTGAGATGTCATTTGTGAGATGTCAAATTTTTGTACTTGAGTCAATTTAAGTGTTAAAAGTTTTAAATGTAGATGTAGAATGTTCCTTTCGTACTCATGTACTCCTAACATGTAATTAAATATTCATGGTAAGTGTGGTGGTGCAGAGCCACTCAACCCCTGAGTAGGCTTGCCGCGATAGACGGTGCTGACGGTGATACCGTTGTTAAGCCGCAACACCGGTTACGTCACTTGCCCACCGCTTCACCGACACCCACCGTCGTTTTGATTTTTTATAGTAATAAAAATCATTTATTTCAGTAAAAGAACAGACACTACAATTAAAAACTGAACGCGGCTGCTCAATGCAGTTGAACGATTTGTTGTCGCACATTGTGCTTGTTAATAAACATTACGTAAATGTGATGCATTTTAAGTACATTGGGTTTATTACATAATAGTACATAGTCCTGTTTCTTATGCATTTAAAACAAATCGGATTTATTGGTACTATTACATAAATCTTATTACTTGTTTCATTTACATAAGGTTGGCAAATTTGCATCACATAAAGTTTATTAGTTTAAGTTAAAAATATGTAATCAAAATGTATGGAAATTTTATATACAATTGAAATACATAAATCTTAAGAATTGGGCCTAAATATTTTTTTGAGTGTGTGTATTTCTGATTTCATCTCAGATACCTCTCATTCACACTTCATCTCTACAGCAGCACAAGCTCATAATCTAAGCTCCTTTTTAAAACTTTTTGGTACTATTTTTATTTATTTATTAATTGCTACATTTTAAGAGCTCTAAGTACAAAACTCCAAAACGATCACACTTGTAACACAGCTAGTTGATCATTAAAACCTTACCTTTATGTTTTCATTAGTAACAGCAAAACACAACAGAATGATCTTCTTCCAATTTAGAAAACAATGTAAGATATTTGTTTCTGAAATAAACATTTTACAGTACTACATTCCCTAACCAAATTGTCATAAAATGTAATATCCAATTCATCAATTAAAATATAAACCCAGGGGCCTATACTATGAAGCCGGTTTAGCAGGCTGGCTAGGTTAGTTTCAGTTTAGTTTGCACCAATCCTGGGTTTTTAGGCTTTTAGCAGCGTTTATCACCATAGTAACTCACGCTCCACAGCTAACCTGCTCTGGGGCAGGTTATGTTCTGGGTAAGAGATCACAAACTGAAATTTGACCAATCAGCTTCAAGCAAAGTGACACATATCTGACCTAATAAAGCCACTCCTCCAGTTTATCTTGCTGCAAATTAAAGGATGCTACATAGTAAAACATTTTAAAAGATAAAATCATCTGGCTTTTAGTGATGATTATTTATTATAATTATTTTATATGATTTATATATTTAGTATAGCCTTAATCCATTACACAAGCCATTTTAGTTAAATAAATATTACATTTTTATTTAAAATTAATATAAATATATACAGATATGCAATATAAATAAGCTTTAGGATCAATAGATAAAGCTTTAAACATGACTTCAGCTTAGATTTTTGAGTCTCTGTATACTTTTGTACATTATCAACTATATAAACTAACTTCATAACTTTCACTTGCACTGATATGGCTCCATAAGCTCAGGATCAAAGCCTGAGTTAACAGAGAAAGTTGATGATCAGTGTCATGGTGCCATCAAAACTGGATTGGATTGGTTTGAATTTGTTCAACTCGAAACTAATCTGGTAACCCTGAGTTTGTGTAGCCACCATCATTTCTGTATAATGCCTATATCCTGCACAGTTTGTTTTTCCTGACCAAATGTTCTTACAGTAACTAAACTGTCAGATGAGGGTGGACTACAGTAATCTGGCAGCATCTGCCTTTGTGCAATCTGTTTATCACATGGCGAACAATGACAAACCAGAGTTTATTTGACAAAGACAAATATCTGCCACCTGATGTCCATCTTTTTTACCTCTCTTTTGGGCCTCTTGTACACAAAATCTTTGCCTGGTATATCCTTCTCAGCCTGGTCTCATGTTTATACGTAGGTATTAATACGTAACATTTACAAGCACAAAACGTACATTTTTGTACGTTTTTATTCATGCTAAAACGTACAATTTAGACGTATTTCAACGTTTAAAACGTACAAATCGCTACGTATTTTTAGTTAAAAAACGTACAAATATTTACGTATCTTTTATATCAAGATATTCATATCAATGCATTTTTATCATTTTATCAATAAGCGATTTAGATTTTTAGACCCCTTAACCTACCCCCAAACATACGTCAGTATTGTACGTTTTAGTGCCTGTAAGAACGTAAGTAAATGTACGTTTTTATAGAACCACATGTTACGTAAAATACATACGAATTATCATGAGATCACGTTGTCCTTCTATATGCTGACAAACTGAACAAGTAATATATTAACACTGATACTTAACATACACACAACCTGTCACTCACATGAGATCATAGCAATAGCAAATGACAACAATCCAACGAACCAATCAATTCCAGATGGACAAAATCAAGTCCTGCCCTACATTTTTTTTTTCTCATTTAAGAAGCCATTTCACTCGGATATACATCACAAAACGGAAAGAAAAGACAAAGATCTGGACAAGATTTGAATAAGCAGAAATTGCATCCAGATCTATGTCTTTTCTTTCTTTTTGTGATGTATATATGACAGGTTGTGTGTATGTAAAGTATCATCGTTAATATAACATGTTCAGTTTGTCAGAAGGATAGACTGTAAAACAGGAACCAGGCAAAGATTTTGTGTAAAAGAGGAGTAGTTAAAGAGATGGATATTAGAGGGCAGATATTTGTTGTCTCAAAAAAGTCTTCTCTAGCACTGTTGGCCATGTGATAAACAAATTACCCAATGGCAGAAGCTGTCAAATTACTGTTAACTTACCCTCTACAGTTTAGCAATTGTGTTACAACCCTGTGGTTGTTCTGTTTTCTCTGCTGTGTTGGGGCTGGCTGTGTCTCTGCTCTCCCTAGGAAAAGATTGACTCCTGCAGGTTGATTGTTGCCGTCTCCTGATTGGTCTACAGAACTTTAAAAGTCACAACATCACTTCCTCAGCAGTAATTTTTGTTGCCATTTTGTGATCTAGTGCAGAGTTTGTGTGTAAGAGTTTGTATTAAGAGAGTTGTGAGATTGTGAGTACTTATTGATTTGCTTTGTTTTGTGTTCTGTTGAAAACGTCTGCTGGTGTATTTGTCCCCTTTGCCTGTTTGACACTGATTTTTGGATTGCCCTCTAAATTTGGTTTTTGCCTGGCTCTTTAAATATTTTTGTAAATATTGTAAATACTAAATTGGGATAGTAACGAGTCTGACACCATTTCTGTTTGTGAAACTTTTTGATCTCTGTTTCTGGGTAGGTAGGTAGGGTAGTAAACTGTACTTTATTTTCTTTTCTTTTGGATGTAAGGTAGAGGTTTAAAAACAGGAACATTTTGTTTGCTATTTTTGCATTGTCAGCTCCTGAACTCAAAACCCCAATAAACCTATTGTTGTTGCACATTTTTTGTCCATGCTAGTCCTTTCATGTTGTGCTTCTTTCCTAGACGGGGCATAACAATTGTTAGAACATTTGGTCAGAAAAAAAAAAAAAAACTGCAGGATTTATGGAGGGGGACTGACTATCTTCAGAGCAGTTTAGATGGTATTTTCTTTTCAACTTGCCTCTGTATAATGCATAGTAGTGTTTATAAGCGCTGCACTGCTTTGTTTACAGCGGTAACCAAGAAAACACTATATTGCTGCTGTTCCATAAGCGCCACCTGCTGTCAGGGAGTGAATCTGCGTCTCATTCAGAGCTTCTGTTTTTTTAGTTTCGTGTAGATATGTTTTATGTAGCATAATTTCTAATTAGCTAAATTCAGACAATTCTGTTTTTGTTTATTTAATTTAAATAAAAAAAACTGCTTATACTACATGTACTTAGCATCTTTGTTTGGATTGTGATTAAAAAGCAGTGGCTGCCTCTAATTTTCAATGGCGACAGATCTACCTGCAATATAGCAAATACACATCGTGATGTACTTATATTTTGATTCTTTCTTGTCTCTTTCTTAAAAAATGTAATACAATTTAAAAAAATGGGCAATTGTTATCAGAATCTGCAAAAAAATCCGCAGTTGGAATCAGCCATGAGAAATCAAGATTGGTGAATCCCTAGTATCGTTATGTGTTATGTAGCAGCTCAGTAGGTTCTGTTTGTTTTTATCCTTTATTTATCAACTTACGTGGTTCCAAACTTGTCTCTGCTGTCCTCGTCACTGTAAAAAGGTCACTGTAAACTTTACATATGTATTCTCCAGCATCTTCAGCTCTCAGATTGTCCAGCCGGAGGGAGAAGTTTCCATGCTGAATATCGTCAGTAAAGAAATTAGCTCTATCCTGATAATCTTTGTGCTGTTTCTTTGTTTGACTCTCTCCATCCTGATACAGATGAACCAGCGTCTTAGTGTCTTTTCTTCTCCATTCCACCTTCAGTTTTTTCTTTAATAAGCATTCATCAACATGACAGGTCAAAACCACTGAAGATCCCAGTTCAAAATAATCGTTATAGGTTTGCTGGCCAAAGAAACCTGAAAAATAAAAACATGTTTGCATGACGCCTTTTTAGTTATACAAGTAACAATGGTTTCATATATTTTATAATTTTTTGACTATACAGACTAACTGTGTACTGGAAAGGGCAATGCACATGTTTAATTTCCCTGCAGGGAAAACAAAAACAAGTCGATCTCTCAGCCTGGTATGTTGATTGATTTTAGATGGGTTTTGAACACTTTTTGGCTGGTCAAGCTATAGGAGACCAGCTTACCAACCAGCTGAGCACAAGCTGCCTGGGAAATCAGCTTAAATAAGTGGATTGACTGTTTTCTTAAACCAAGTCCACACTTATGGTAATATAAAGCTTTATTTTGCAAAGAATCAGTGACATTATTTACATATACACATTTGCACACATATAAATTAACACACACACCTCTCTCTCTCACCCTCACTAAAGTTGCTTCAATAATTGCTTGAGTAAGTAATGAGTCTCAAGACAAGTTAAAAGGGTCAACAAGGAGAATAGGAGAACATGTAAAACACAGGTGTATTTAGACTAATTAACAAAATGATCTCAAATATCACATGACAACTTCAGATTCAATGGCCGCTCACCCATTCAAATTAGTCCTACATGGTGCATAAATTAAGGATCACAACACTGGCCTATCTGAGCTACTCATTATACAAACAAACAAACTACTGCTAGTATATGATGGACATTATACTCACACCCACAACATGTCCTATAGTTTATATAACACAGCAATCATCACCATTTCAAAGCTTAAACACAACTGACAAAGTTACAATTTTATCCCAATCCTAATCTACTGTAGGCATCTCAACATTTTCCCTATTTGTCCCCTCCAATATATTGCTCCCTCACCACCACAGACTTCACAAACTACAAGACTAAAGAAAAACTTCTAAATTCCTAAATCCAAAAAATTATTTCATTTTCGTACCAGTAGGTGTCATTGAATTAGAGCTGATAAGAATATGTTCCAGTTTTACACATACCTTTATATGGTGATCTGCAGTAGATCAGGCAGCAGAGCAGAAGTGCAGATCCAGATGCAGAAACACAGAGAATCAACACCATTATGTGTAAAACAGAGAAACCTGAAAAACACAGACATCAGTTACTGAACAAAGAGAAACAGTAATGTGTACCATTCCCAGTATTTTGTCCTTGAAATACCATTTCTACTAATTTTGTGATGTTTTGTGATCATAATAATGAATGTCTAATAAACCTAAAGATTATCCATTTGCTCTTTCTTCACATTATGCTTCAGGCAATAACATGCCACGACTCTTTTTTTTTTTCCTTTTTAAAATGAATGTCTAAGCAATAATGAAAACTCTTGATATCCTGGATCAATAATTATTGTTAAAAGAGTTCTCTCTCTTTTTCATGTAAGTTTGGGAATGAATGAAAGGAAAAGAAGGATTGAAATATAGGCTTTTCAATGAATTTACTAGGGGTTGTAAGGTACTTTTACTTTTAGATGTTTTAGAACAGTATGTACAGTGAAATGTGCTTTACAAATAAACTAAAAGAGAGAATTACAATTATAATTGCAGTCCTTCCATGTCAACTCAACCAGAGGCCCCCAGGAACGTGGTTGGGAACCACTGGTATAATGTATGCAATACCAACGATTCGATTTACTCAGAGTTTAGAACACAGGTGTTAGGCTAAAGCCTGTGTTATACTTTCCGCATGAGCAATCCGGACACATACACGGACAGCGCGGACGCGGACTACTTGTATTTATTCTACCGAAAGCATATGCTGATGGTCCGCTCTGCGGACGTGTTCCATACATGCATAGTAGATCGGCTTGAACAATAAACAAACATGTGAACAAAGAATTGCCCAGAGTTATTGCACATCTGGCTGTCTTTATATTGTTTTATTGACGGATTGTACAGGTTCGAGTAGCAACGGGCTTCTTCACACAGCCTGCGCATGCGCAGTAGCCTATTGAACGCGCGTACTTGTCCACGCGGTCACAAAAAATGGGAGGCACGCGGATGTCCGCGCACACTCTCCGATGACGATTTTTACGTCACGCATACCATAGCGGACCCTAGCGGACTCGCGGTTGCGGAAAGTATAACACAGGCTTAACTCAGCTCCTGGAGAGCCACTGTCCTGCATAGTTTAGCTCCAACCCTAATTAAACACACCTAAAAACACCTGATCCCAAGTCTTGAGAAGTGCTGGAAACTTCCAGTCAGGTGTGTTGGAGTTGGTTGGAGCTAAACTCTGCAGGCCAGTGGCTCTCCAGGAGCTGGGTTTGACACGTGTGGTTTAAAATGACCAAGGGTTAACTATTTCAAGTGTGAAAGCCCTTAAATGTTCCAAAGTTTGAGGTACTATTAGTGATTCTGGTAAATATGCCCCTTAGCAATGGACACTACTTGATCTATCACTATGCTTCACATTTTATAACAAGCGGAGATTCTAATAGAATCCAGGTGAGGCAAATCTCGGTTTATTGATGTGAATACAATGTGTGGGGAGCGCAACCACACTTCCCTAGGACGCATGAAACTTGCTTCAAACAAGTAGATACAATACTCCTATTTTAATCTCTTGGTAGGCTTCAGAAGCACTTAAAATGAACAAAAATCCCTTCTTCCAAATTTCCCTAAAACTGATTCAAACTTAAAATCTTATGAATAGACCTGTGAGATTAAGTTAATATTCCTCAACTTGACCATTCTGTGTATTTTTGCCTCTGAGACAGGTATGTCCATTTGCAATTATTTTGATATAGGGGAACAAGCTACATTTCTAGTTTCAACATTATTTGCTCTTCAAAGGAATAGTTGTGGCCTAATGATTACAGAGTCAGACTTATAACCCGAAGGCCATAGGTTCGATTCTCAGTACCAGCAGCAAATGAAGGTGGGGGAGTGAGAGAACAGCACTCTCTTCCACACCATTTCAAAATAAAGATGCCAAAAGAAGAGTTTAAGAACCAAAATCTAAGAGGATATTAGGATATATTTAATACTTCTTGAGTTACGGGCCTGCAAACTTGAAAAAAATATTGAAAATTACTTTTCCTGATTTTCCTTCAGCAAAAATTGCTAAAGGCAACATATTTTACTAAAGGCAACAGACCTACCAATCTCTGTGTAAAAATAAAATAATGATGCTGCCATCTTTGTAAACCAAATTTTGTTGATTTGACAAGGCATGACCCTGCAGCCATAAAAAGTTCTGTTTCACAAAGTATGACACGTGCATCATTTATCTGTTACTCACCCAGTCGCTCCAGTACTACAGTTGCGTTGGCTGAAAGTCCTCCAGCAAACACCTCACACATGTAAACTCCTTTATCCTCAGTTCTGACACTCTTCAGTCTGAGAGAGAAGTTTAATTTGGGGATTTCAGCAGTGAAGAACTCAACTCGGTCTCTGTATTGCTCATCTGATGCCTCTGGTAAATCCACTTGGTCTTGGAAGAGCAGAACCATAATTTCTTCATCTTCATCTGTTTTCTTCCATGAAACCTCTTCAATATCTGCAAGTGTGATGTGAGAGTCTACAGAGCAGTTCAGAGTGACGTCTTCACCCACAGACGCAGATATAGAGCGACTCGATCCTGATACTAGCAAACGCTCTGAAAGACAAAACAGTTATATCGCACCATAAAATATATTAGTTTCTGTAAAATCATAGTGAAAATGAAGGAAGGAACTCATGCAGTCAAAACTCACCAACATCAATGTTTATTTGAACCACGGTCTCACCAGACTCTTGCTGACTGTAAACTGTACATGTGTATCGTCCCTCATCTTCAGCTCTCAGATTGTCCAGCCGGAGGGAGAAGTTTCCATGTTGAATCTCCTCAGTAAAGAAATGAGCTCTATCCTGATAATCCTGCTGCTGGGCTTCTGTTTGACTCTCACCATCCTGATACAGATGAACTAAAGTCTCAGAGTCTGGTCTTCTCCACTCCACCTCCAGACCCTCCACTGATAAAAGTTCATCAACATAACAGGGCAAAACCACTGACGATCCCAGAGGAGCAACCAGAGGACCAGGGGGACCGTGCACAGTCAACCCTGTAAACAATGTTTTCCCCATAGAAAGGGAAAGAGAAAAGTGAAATACAGCTTGTTTTGTAGTCAAAACCGATAATGACATTTTTAGCTGTCAAAATTTTTTATCCCTATTTTATCTCATGTAGACTATTATAAAATGATGTACTTTAGTGAGTAAGCACTGATGTCCACCCCATTTCACCAAGGTCCACTAACTTAATACTACAGCCAGTGAGAGATACAGGGCATGGGAATGTTCAGTGGGAGGAGTCACAGACCTACAGCCAATGAGAGAGCAGATACAGGGCAAGGGAAAGTTCAGGGGGAGGAGTCACAGACCTACAGCCAATGAGAGAGCAGATACAGGACAAGGGAAAGTTCAGGGGGTGGAGTCATAGACCTACAGCCAATGAGAGAGCAGATACAGGACAAAGGAACGTTCAGGGGGAGGAGCCATAATATACCTACAGCCAATGAGAGAGCAGATACAGGACAAGGGAACGTTCAGGGGGAGGAGTCATAAGAGGCCCACAGCCAATGAGAGAGTAGATACATTAAAATACTTGAAAAAAGTCTGCACACTCTCAAAAATCAAAAAGTCACAAGCGAGATGAAAGCAGTGTAAGTAATTTACTGAAAAAAACAAGGCAAACATTTTGGTCACTTGCTGACCATTTTCAATGCCAAGCTAACAATGTTGGAACTAGGAGCCATCTTGATTTAAGAAATCACATGTTGATTTAGGAGATCACATGATCAACCGGAACAAGCACTGATCCAAAAAAAAAAAAAAAGATGACACACAATATCAAGATATGAAGAAAAAAAAATTTGACCACAACGTGTATATTTAAAGCAATGGATCATATACATCAAATTGGGGAATAATTGTTGTCTGACGGAGTTGACAAGAAAGTAGATACACTACCGTTCAAAAGTTTGGGATCAGTTTGATTTTTTAAGTTTTTAATGGAGTCTCTTATGCTCATCAAGGCTGTATTTATTTGATCAAAATACAGAAAAAAAACAGCAATATTGTAAAATATTATTGCAATTTCTAATATTGGTTTCCTATTTTAATATACTTTAAAATATAATTTATTTCTGTGACGCAGTGCTGAATTTTCAGCATCATTACTCCAGTCTTCAGTGTCACATGATCCTTCAGAAATCATTCTAATATGTTGATTTATTATCAGTACTGAAAACTATTTTTTTGGAACCTGTGATACTTTTTTCTTTGAGTCTTTGATGAATAAAAAGTTTAAAAAGAACAAGAGTCTCTTATGCTCATCAAGGCTGTATTTATTTGATCAAAATACAGAAAAAAAACAGCAATATTGTAAAATATTATTGCAATTTCTAATATTGGTTTCCTATTTTAATATACTTTAAAATATAATTTATTTCTGTGACGCAGTGCTGAATTTTCAGCATCATTACTCCAGTCTTCAGTGTCACATGATCCTTCAGAAATCATTCTAATATGTTGATTTATTATCAGTACTGAAAACTATTTTTTTGGAACCTGTGATACTTTTTTCTTTAGATTATTTGATTAATAAAAAGTTAAAAAGAACAGCATTTATTCAAAACAGAAATCTTTTGCTATCACATTTTGTCCATTTAACACATCCTTGCTGAATAAAAGCATTAATTTCTTGAAAAAAAAGAAAGAAAAAAATTACTGACCCCAAACTTTTAAATACTAGTGTATGTTGTAACACAAAATTTATATTTTGAAAAAAAAAAAAACACTGTTCTTTTTAACTTTTATTTATCAAAGAATTCAGAAAAAAAAAAAAAAAGTATCACAGGTCTCAAAAAAATATTAAGCAGCACAACAGTTTCCAGCACTGATAATAAATCAGCATATTAGAATGATTTCTGAAAATCATGTGAAACTGAAGACTGGAGTAATGATGCTGAAAATACAGCTTTGATCACAGAAATAAATTACAGTTTAAAGTATATTAAAAATTTTTTTTATCAAAATCTGTGTGGCAAAGCTGCGTGACGCACTGGACAGTGCCGAGCGAATGCATTCACATTATAGTTCTTATTGAGAGTTAACAGAGGATTAGATGTTGATGATTTATTGAAAATATATATATATATTTTTACTTACCATTAAGGGGATTAGTGTTTAGCTTTTGTTGGGCTCTTGACTTTCGAATGTTAGCTTTTCTCTGGCTGCTGCAACTTTGTATTTATAAGACACTTTTGTAATAGCAAGAAACGCCAGGAGAAATTATGATCAGGTGTTGATGGTTATCTATTGATGTGATACACTGGTCTCATTCAGAGTCTAAAACTGAATAATTATACAATTTTATTAAAGAAATATCTATGTATTTTTGTCTTCTTTTACTCTTGGATTTGATTATTTTGATTATTGATACACTATAAAACCAAAACAAACTCACAGTGGTGATGACATCAGTAACCCAATCCAAGATCCAAAGATACTTTGTTATGTTTAATAACAATATCGGCATTTTTACAGTGATAGAAGGGAATTGGTGTTATAGGATCAGGACTACAAGGTACACAGATATTGTCTATGCTGGATTTGCTTTTAATCTGTAGGCCAGTAGCGTGTATGTTTATGGCCCGCCTTTATGTGGAACAGGCAGCTTTCGTGATAAATTGTAAAGACTTTCCGGCCCATTACCCGACCTGCAGAGACACACACTTGACCCAGAGCTGAACTTTAGACATGAAGGGACATATAGGAAAAGCATAGATGATTCTCTATCATCTATCATGCAAATATCAATGTATATAATTTATAATATTAAAAAATATTTTGTGTGTGTGGCTCAGAGAGGATCAAATTTACAAGTCCCTATGATTATCTGTGTCAAATTAAATTCTGTTTTTTTGCTTTTGCACTTCACAAGCAAACAGTGTTTATTAATCATTGACAGAAATTCTTTCACTTTCATTGTTATAGAAAAAAACAGGTTGTAAACGCTGGGTCAAATCAGGTAACCAGGAAACATGACCTGATTAAAATGTCAATGTGACACACCTCAACATGACAATAAGCTGACATGAATGTTACCAAACCAAAGTTAATCAAATCTAAACATCTCTGAGCTTGTTTTTTTAGGTCTAGATTCCAGCTCTGCTCTTTCTGGACCTTCAGCTTCAAGAGGTGCATCATGGGAAGCATTTAAACACTGATTTTCCTTTGCTCATCCACAGAAATATTCTTAATGAAAATTTTAGGTGCAAAAAGAAATACATATGTGTGCCTTTTCATGTTGTTAATTGTGTGCGCTTATTTCACCAGCATTAGATTAAAGAGAAAAAAAGAGCGTACAAACCATTTAATATTATTAGAATTACAAACACAAATATAAACATATACAGGTGCATGTTCACTTATGATAAATTATCATTATCACTTTGGCTCGTCAAAGGCAAGTCAAACTGACGTTTTAATAAGAGGTCATTCTGGTGCATCTGGATATGTTGAAACCTGTTTTACCTTACCAAGGAAAAACTGCAACTAATCAAGACATATGGTAAAGTAATCCATATGTAGGCACAATCTCATTTCAAGCATTTAAGCAGAAGCCTCTACAGCAAAAATGATTTTTAAGATCTTTAAGATTTTTAAGATCACGAGCAACTTAAATTCAGTCAAATGTGTCCAAAACTTTAACTGATACTGTAAGTTTGCAGAGATTTAAACAGGACATAATTAACTATGTGCCTTGCCTTCAGAATTAACTTGAAGAAAAACAATGTACATACCGTCTGATATAACCGGAATTACAGTCACTAAAAGGAATATAAGCAGGTCCATGTTCAGTTGAAGTTACGATCATATCTCTGCATCGTCAAACTGAAAGTGATCTGGTGCAATGAAGGCAGTACGATTAAACCTGCAGTGCTTTGTTCCTTGTGACTGACAAAAAAAAAAAAATAGAAACTGCAGCTCATCTAGATAAACCAGTTCTGATTAAATGGAAAAGCATCATGAAGAATAAAAAAATAAAAAAAGTAAAAGAAAAATAAGAAAAAGCATCTGTAAAGGGAGTATAATCTGAAAATTTAAAAATATTTTTTAAAGATAAAAAAATGAGCAGAAATTTTACCCTAAATTAAAAATGTGTGACTATACTCCTGACTGCTGACTATATATAATTATTTTAATTATTCTGCTATATATATATATATATATATGATTAGAAACACACATAAATTATGTTTATTTATAGCCTACATCAGGAGTGTCCAACCCCGCTCCTCCAACTTGCCTCAACACACCTGCCGGGAAGTTTCTAGTATGCCTAGCAAGAGCTTGATTAGCTGCTTCAGGTGTGTTTGATTAGAGTTGGAGCTAAACTCTGCAGGACACCGGCGCTCCAGGACCGAGTTTGGGCACCCCTGGCCTACATAAACACAATGAACTTATACTGCGTTAATCAATGAAACATTCATAAATGATATAAATGCTTCTCTAATGCTTCTTTCTTTCACTGCAGTTTAGATACGAGACTCTCAGCATTGTACATTTATGATGTACAGATTATGATCTTTAAAGAGACAGTTCACCCAAAATCTCCATTCAAACCTGTACGACATTATTTCGTCTGTGAATCACAAAAGCAGATATTTTAAAGAACATCTCAGGGTCTTTTGGTCCACACAATGAAAGTCAGACTGAAGTTTCATTGCTGTGTTTAACACATTAAATGCACTCCTTACTGTCATGATCTACCTTGTAATTATTGCAAACTTTCATTAAAAGCGTCACACACATCTGTCCTGATGCAGCAGAAATGTGTGTTATGTCCAGAGACATGTTTCTTTATTGTAGCTCTTTTAATTGAATCTTCCACATTTGAAGTGAATCATGATGATTATGAATGATTTTTCAGCGTGGAATGAGACAGACGCCATCAGCGGATTGACACCAACTCCAGAATCCTGTGAGTTTAGCTGTATGTCAACACAAATTAAAACACACTCAGTCCAAAGTTTAGTGGAGGAGAAATAATTTATAATTTAGTTCATTTATAGTGGTAATTTATAATTCAGTTGATCAGATTTCATTATTGTCTATTTCTTGTATAGATCAGCTGATTTAGTTATTTATATGTTATAGCTCAGTTGTGGTGGTTGTTTGCTCTTTTGTTCATCTTTGTTCTTCTCATCATTTCGATCTGTTTTATACTGCGTAAAAGGATCTTCAGGTGAGTCGTGCTTGACTGATGTATCACCAAGGCCCCGATATATCAGCCAATATTTGTATTTATGTTTTTATTTTTTTTTATCAGCGGATACGTTTTTCTGTGTGGTCAGTGTGTCAGAAACGGAACTTTTATTTTGACATTGCTGAGAGGATAGGTCTTTATTGTTATTGCATATGTTTATACAACGAAATTATGTCAGAGCAATCCAATTAGCAACATTAAAACAGAATAAAGTAAAACACAAACACAATCTCTTGCCTGCAAGTTATTAGTGCCCAGAATCCATTGTCCACTTCTATGGAGGTCATTATTGCACCAAATCTGTTATTGCACTGGACCCGGAGGCTACAGAGAATGACTAGAACTTCTGCAGCCTGTCCACAGCTCTGTTAGTGTGTGTTCCTGGGGTCCTCAATCTACCGGAAGGGAGAGTGTCAAAAAAAAAAAAAAAAAAAAAAAAAAAAAAAAATTTAATCGAATTTAAAGTTGCAAAAACCTCTATTAAAATTAAATAACTGGTTGAAATGGTCTTATTAATCACTTCCTTATCACATTAAGTTGCTTGCAATTTGTTTACAAGATAAATATAAATTCACAAATAAACAAACAAACAGAACAAACCTAGTACAGACAATGTAATTACAGCTGAAACAGGCTTGGGATATGCAATGTTCAAAATGTAAAATAATCTAAACCATGTATCAACTGCTTGTAAAAAGACGCTCTTGCTTCAGTGCCTTTTCTCCCACAATGAAGAAGGATGGATTTTATCCCAAACTGCAGGACTTCAGGGTATCGCCTTTGTTGCTCCTCCTCCAAATACAGAATTAAATTTGTTCCAACCTTTAAACAGAAATTTACAATGGCTAATATGCATACATTGGATGGATTATTACCCAAAAATGTATTGTCATAAAAGATGCACTTACCCACTTTGTATGGCTATGGAGGAGGATGTCGGGGTTTTAATGCAACTTTAATGCAATCTCCAAAGACCATCTTAAATAGAAAGAACAATGGATTAATCACTGAACAAGTATTGGGGGAAAAAATTGAAAAAATCCACACTTTTCTAAGCCATGGTAGCAGTCTTTCATTTGACTTCTTACTGTTGTAATAATGGAATAATGTCTGTTATATTAGCCGAGTGTTACAAGAGTGGTGTTTGTATCATTATAGACAGGTGTGGGGATTTTTTAACTCTTTCTTTCTCTTTACATTGTTATGCTAGCGGGTGGTAATGTCAGTGTATCAATGACATATAGAATGAAATTTAAGTTACCGGTATGTAAAAACTATATATCACTCTCGTAATCATGCTGTTAGACTCTACAGAAGAACCATTTTTGGTTCCACAAAGAACCATTCAGTCAAAGGTTCTTTAAAGAACCATCTCTTTCTTACCTTTTTATAATCTGAAGAACCTTCTTTCGCCACAAAGAACCTTTTGTGAAACAAAGGTTCTTCAGATGTTAAAGGTTCTTTATGGAACCATTTAGACAAAAAGGTTCTTCTATGGCATCGTGAAGCACCTTTATTTTTAAGAGTGTATATCAGCAGGCTGTGGTTTTCTGTGGTCTCATACCTGATCTAGAGTCAATTCACATTACAAAGATGGCACAGAAGCACTTCTGAAAGTAGCTTTTATGTCTTTACATACTGTTTAATGCCGCAATGCTATACAGAGTATTTTGAGCAGGCACAAGCAGCCTTAACTCAGCTATTTAAAGACACCTTCACAGTACTCTTGCTTGTGTGATTTTTCTCAAAGGGATAGTTCACCCAAAAAAACTTGTCATTTACTCACCCTCAAGTTGCTCCAAACCGGTATGAGTTTCTGTCTTCTGTTGAACACAAAAGTAGATTTTGAAGAATGTGTATTTATTCATACTATGAAAGTAAAATATCTTGTGTACAGCAGAAAAAGAAAAAAAAACTCATGGAGATGTGGAATAACATGAGTAATAAATGATTAAAAAAAGTTCATTTTTGGGAGAATTAACCCTTTAAGAGTCAGTTTTACTAACAGCTTGC